CTCGTAGTTCCTAGCTCAAGACTCTGCCCTGTGAGATCTTTCCTAAGTTCACTCCTGCTTCTCAGGCAGAAGTGGCCACTTCTAACAATCAATGCCCACATGATGTCTGAGTGCCATTATCTGTCTCCTCCACTGGAGAATGCATAAGCTCCTTAAAGGCAAGGATTATGTTCAGGAAAAGATTTTTCCAACCAGACCCAGAAAACTGAGTACTAATGAAAAAATACATTTCACTATGTTAAAATAAAGAATGGCTGATCAACAGAAGACACTTTAAAGAAAGAGGAAAAATAGGTTAAAAGCAGGGAGAGCCGAGTGAGGTGGCTCATGCTTATAATCCCAGCACTTTGGGAGGCCAAGGGGCAGGCGGATCACGAGGTCAGGAGACTGAGATCATCCTAACACGGTGAAACTCTGTCTCTACTAAAAATACAAAAAATTAGCCAGGCATGATGGTATGTGCCTGTAGTCCCAGCTACTCAGGAGGCTGAGGCAAGAGAATCGCATGAACCCGGGAAGTGGAGGTTGCAGTGAGCCAAGATCGAGCCACTATACTCCAGCCTGGGTGACAGAGTGAAACTGTCTCAAAAAAAAAAAAAACTAAGAAAAAAAAAAACAAAAGAAAGGGTTACCTCAGGATAAGAACAGAAAAAAAGTTCAAATGAAATGATTAGATGTTCTAAGGGGACCTGATAAAATAGAAAAAAAAAAAAAAATTTAATTTAAAAAAAAGATTAGATGTATACTTTTGTTTCATGATCTCAGCTTTTGTTTGGGGTGCCTAGGTTGCCAGAGCTTACTACATTTATTAAAAAATAACTTACTAAATAAGGAAAAGTAGGTCAGGCATGAACGCTGATGAGTGTGTACTAATCAATCTTGCGCTCAGCTTAGCTGAGAAGACAAACACCAAAGGGACTGCTGAATTCATCTTTGTACTCCGAGTGCCAAGCGCAAGCCCTGGCGCACAGGATTTCGGGAGGCATTTGGGGAATGAATCAGTGCTCTTCTCTCTAGCCCGTGGCCTCATTTCCTGTTGGCCTCTTAATACCTTCAACACGTCTGAAGCCAAACGCATCTTCCTTCCTCCTTCTCCTCTTCCCCCTGGATTTCCCCCAAGCGACCAAGAGAAAAAACCTCAGACACTCAGTTCTCTTCCACCTGCTCCCCCAGGCCTGGCAGCTGCCTGGCCTGCTCGCTCCTCACCTCCGAAGCCCCCTGCGAACACCTGGCAGGGACCCTTAGGCCTCTCACTTTAATCAGTACTCCCTCCCAAATGGCTTCTCCAACTCTGCTTTCTCCCTCTGGTACATCTCAGATGGGGAACAAGCAACAGCTTCCTGAACTACTGTTCTGATGCTGTCTTTTACTCACCTCCCCTGGATCTCGAGAATGAAGCTCAAATTCCTCAGGCTGACAGTCAAAACCCATCACAGTTTGGCCCCTCCCTCGATATCATCAGTATTTGCCTGTGCCCTGCCCTTCCCTCCCCTCTTGTCTATCCCTCCCCCTGTACAATCCCCCTGCAGAGTGTCTACATCTATCCCTCCCCCTCCACGATCCCCCTGTAGAGTGTAAGTGATCCTCTGCTACTCCCATCTGCATCAGGGTGTCCCTACCCCCATGTTTCAGCTCCACCCCAATCCCACCCACTTGGTCCCCTGTCCTCACCTTACCCACCCTTTTACGGCCCAATTTAAACAGCACTTCCCACGATGCCTGGATGCGCCCAGCAGAAAGCAAACACCCTCTAAATTAGCCAGGCATGATGCTGTGCACCTGTAATCCCAGCTACTTGGGGAGCTGAGGCACGAGACTCTCAAGCCTGGGAGGCGAAGCTGCAGTGAGCTGGGATTGCGCCACTGCACTCCAGCCTGGGTGACTGAGTGAGACTCTGCCTCAAAAAACAAACAAAACCACCACAAAAAAGAATGAAAGGAAACACCTTCTGACTAACCTCCTTTTTTAGTCCTTTTCAGTTCTCTCTGTTCATTTTCTCTCTCCATTAGACTATGAGCAACTGAGGGCAAAACCACTCATCTGCCTCTCCCTCTCCCCGCCCCCCCGCACTGTCCCCCCCTCCTCCAGAAGCTGGCATGGTGTAAAGAGACTTACAAAGAGAATAATCCTGTCTAACCCATTCTACACGTTCCAGTGTGCTCCTTTAAAAAGTCCCTCAGGAGGCCAGGCACGGTGGCTCAGGCCTGTAATCCCAGCACTCCAGGAAGCTGACATGGGAGGATCACTTGAGGCCAGCCTGGACAACACAGAGAGACACTGTCTCTAGAAAAAAGTTAAAATATTAGTTGGGTATGGTGGTAGGCAACTCAGCTACTCCCAGGCCAGGAATTTGAGGCTGTGGTGAACTATGATCACTCCACTGCACTCCAGCCTGGGCAGCAGAAGTAGACCCCAATTCAAACAAATAATAAATAAAATGCCCCTCATGGAATTCTGCTAAAATCCTTCTGCTCCCGAGTCTTGGCATGGCCCACATAACCCTCCCCGCTCAGCCCTCTGCCTGCTTTTCCAGCCTCCTCTACCATATACTAAGCTACTTACAGTAGCCCAGCTGTGTCCCGGTAGCTTCATGACTTTGCAAACGCTGACTCCTCTCCCAGGCCACTGTGCCCCACTTTCTAAGTCCTACTCCTCCTTCACAACCCCCCTCAACTACCACCTTCCAGAAGTCTTCCTGACCCTCCCCCCTCCCTTCCCTTCCTGGATGTGGGCAGGAGGGCCTTATGATGTTCCCCGTCTCAGTATCCATCACACTGACAGTATCTTATCACTGACTGTGGTTTGTCTTTTCCACCAAACAATGAGCTCCCAAAAGACAGAGATCTTGTCTGGCACCCAGTAAAGGTTTATGCAACAAAAGAAATGAAAACTGCCAGTTCAAATGCAGAAATCGTGACTTGTGTCTTCCATCCCATAAAGCATGTCTTAAAGTGGAAAGCATCTTCTAAGACTAGTTAAACAGGAGAAGCAGCTGGCAATACGCCACTGAAATTTATTTGAGACAGGTGGCAATCAACAATCAACTCCCAGGGTAACAGTTTATCTTGTAGACCTCAAATTCCACCCTCCTCAATCCCCACCTTCTCTGCACCAGATAGAGAAGACAGCAAGGTCAAGTCCCCATGGCTCTCACCTTTTCTCTCCTGAGAGCTGGCACAAACCGTCCCTTCTGGATGAAGACACCAGCTCCTCAGGAGGAATGACTTGTTTGAGTTCCCATCCTGATACAAACCACAAACAACAAAAACCGGGCAAATCTGAAAGGCTTGCTGACTCAGCAACACAATTTCCAAGGCACCTTAGCCAACAAGGAAGAAGATGACCAGGTTTTAAATTGAGAAACAGCAGTTAGTAAAAACGAAGGTGCAGATGTTGGATCCGTGTGCTGTGCCTGGGGACTGAAAATCACCAGATCTACTTTCCAACAGCCTGGGTGGAGCAGAAGGTACAATAGTCCTCCTCCACCCACTTACCAAGGAGATGGCTGAAAAACAGCAAAAAGCAAACAACAACAAAAAAAACCCTGAGCCCTTTTATTTTTTATTATATATATTTTTTGGAGATGGAGTCTTGCTCTGTCACCCAGGCTGGAGTGTAGTGGGGCGATCTCAGGTCACTGCAGCCTCCACCTCCCAGGTTCAAGCAACTCTCCTGCCTCAGCCTCCCGAATAGCTGGGATTATAGGCACAAGCCACCACACCCGGCTCTGAATCCTTCTTTAAAAAAAAAAAAAAAAAAAAAAAAAAAGTTCCGTTATCCCTCTGTCACCCATGCTGGAGTGCAGTGGCATGATCATAACTCACTGCAGCCTCCAACTCCTGGGGCCAAGCAATCCTCCTGCCGCAGCCTCCCAAACAGCTGGGACTACAGGCGCCAACAGGCCCATCCAATTTTTTGTAGACAGTACCTCAGGAATCTTCATTTCTCAGGCTTGTCTCAAACTCCTGGGCTCAAGTGATCCTTCCACCTCAGCCTCCCAAAGTGCTGGGATTACAGGCGTGAGCCACCGTGCCTGGCCTGAGGCCTTTCACAGAAAACCCTACAAGAACTTCATAAGCCAGTCTGGCAGCTAAGCATCCAGGAAATCAACATACCAGAGACAGTAAATATTTGTCCAAGATCACAGAGCAACCGAACCAGAGGGCTTGCTATCAGGATGGCTTAGGTAAGCCCGGATGGTGGCTACCAGAAAGCCTACCTTCTCTAACGCTAGAGGAGCTAGGAGGGCATGCGGACATATTCTGAGTTTCTCAAGGGTCCAGGCCTCTGTACACATGCTATTTATTTCCATCGCTGTTCGCGCTTAGAGAAGCGGAGCCAGCTTGCAGGAGGAGGGCGGCTAGCTGAGAGAGTCGCGATGAAAGCGCAACTCCAGAAAAGGGAACCGAGTTTTAAGTCTTCGTCGGCACCCCTTACGCACCCGCAAAAGTGACCCAGGAGGTCCTGGGAAAGCAGAAGGCAGACCCCAGCCGGAGAGCAGGGAAGCACAGAAGGCAATCTCCTCCAAAGTACAACCCCCGGACCATGAGTCCCTTCACCTGGAGGTAGACCCCAGCAGGACCCACTCCTCGCCAGAGAGCCGGTGGCAATTTCGTCACCGCCTCCTCCGGGTCCTGCGGGAAGGGGTGCGCTCCTCCCGAGCGACCCGAACTCCCGGGGGCCGCGCCCCTCCGCCTGGGAGCCCCTCCGCCTCCACCCAGACGTCCCCTCTCGCACCCGGCACCCTGTCCCGTCCAAGGCTCCCGGCGCCTTCCAAGTCCCCCCAACTCCCGCCACCAGGACCTTGAGACCGGAGACCGATGCCCCGACATCCCTGATCTCCCGGGACCCCCGGGTGTCCCCGCCGCCTGGGCCGTCGACTCCCCTCACACCCACGCCCGCCCCCTTCCGGTCCCGGCTCTGCTCGGGCTCCCCGCGCCAACCCGCGCCCTCGGGACCCCAGCCCCAGCGACGCGCAGGTAGCCTGCCCGCCCTCTCACCGAGGCTGAGGAGGTCGAGGGGACGGGGCTGAGGGCACCACAGCGCTCGGGCTGCAGCTTCGGCTCGGCCTCGGCAGGTCTCCGGCTGCGGCTCCGACTCTCAGGAGAAGGCAGCCAGAGTGAAACTCAGCGTCGCAGCTTCCGAGCGCGCCGCTGCGCATGCCCGGGGCGCGCGGCCTTCTGGGAAATGTAGTCCCAGAGGGGCCCCTGGGCTGGCAGGGGGCCGGGCTCAAGGGGAGGAGTTCAACCCAAGGCGCACCTGCTCTGGTTTATGTTTTCTTCCTTCGCCTGTTCACTCATTCACTTATTCTTTAGTTACTGACTTCATTTTAACTAGTTTTTACTAGTACATACAGGGTGCCGATTCCGGTGCTACTGTTTCTCTTTTTTGTTTTTCAACTTCACTTTAATTTTATTTTTATTTGTTGTACAGATGGGGGTCTTGCAATGTAGCTCAGGCTGATCTCAAATTCCTGGCCTCAAGCGATCCCCTTGCTTCAGCCTCCCAAAGCACTGGGGTTGCAAGTGTGAACCATCGAGGCAAGTCTTTTTAATTTTCTTTCTTTCTTTCAAGAGTCGGGGTTTGACCATGTCGGCCAGGCTGGTCTCAAACTCCTGACCTCAGGTGATCCGCCCACGTTGGCCTCCCAAAGTGCTGGGATTACAGGCGTGAGCCACCACACCCAGCCAAACCTTTTTGGATTTAAAATTTTGCAGGGCACGGTGGCTCATGCCTGTAATCCCAGCACTTTGGGAGGCTGAGGCGGGCGGATCACCTGAGGTCGGTGACCAGCCTGACCAACATGGAGAAACCCCGTCTCTACTAAAAATACAAAAATTAGCCAGCTTGGTGGCACATGCCTGTAATCCCAGCTACTCGGGAGGCTGAGGCAGGAGAATTGCTTGAACCTGGGAGGCAGAGGTTGTGGTGAGCCAAGATCGGGCCATTGCACTCCTGCCCAGGCAAGAAAAGCGAAATGCATCTTAAAAAAATAATAAAATTTTGTCTTTTTCTTTTCCTTTTTTAAATTTTTGCTACTGTATAGTGGAAGTGTGGGATTGAATAGGTGAATCAAAAATGGTTTCTCTGCCTGGCACAGTGGCTCACATCTGTAATTCCAACACTTTGGGAGACCAAGGCGGGCAGATCACCTGAGGTCAGGAGTTCCAGACCAGCCTGGCCAACATGGTGAAACCTCGTCTCTCTTTCCACTCCCCGCCAACCCCTCAAAACCTCGTCTCTATTAGAAATACTGAAGAAAAAAAAAGCCACGTGTGGTGACTCGTGCCTGTAATCCCAACTACTCCGGAAGCTGAGGCAAGAGAATCCCTTGAACTCTGGAGGCTGAGCTGCAGTGAGCCAAGAAGCACCATTGCACGCCAGCCTGAGCGACAGAACAGAGTGGGAATCCATCTCACGAAATGAAAAAGAAGAAGAAGAAGAAAGAGAAAGGAGGGAAGGAAAGGGAGGGATAGAAGGAAGGAAGGAAGGAAGAAAGGAAAAGGTTTCTCTCTCTCGGGAAAGCTCCATGTCTAGTTGAAAAGTCAGGCACTTAAACACACAATTACAAGGCCGGGCGCGGTGGCTCACGCCTGTAATCCCAGCACTTTGGGAGGCCGAGGCGGGTGGATCACGAGGTCAAGAGATCGAGACCATCCTGGTAAACAAGGTGAAACCCCGTCTCTACTAAAAATACAAAAATTAGCTGGGCATGGTGGCGCGTGCCTGTAATCCCAGCTACTCGGGAGGCTGAGGCAGAGAGAATTGCCTGAACCCAGGAGGCGGAGGTTGCGGTGAGCCGAGATCGCGCCATTGCACTCCAGCCTGGGTAACAAGAGCGAAACTCCGTCTCAAAAAAAAAAAAAAAAAAAAAAAACCACACAATTACAATATAGTGGGGAAAATGTTTGGCTAAAGGAGAGCACAGAAGACTATACCTAACTTGGGGGTGGGGAGAAGACATCACAAGAGAGATGAAGGCTGTGTGGGTTTTACAGTCCGTAGAGAAGTTTGCCAGTTTGGAGCACAGGGAAGCTCTTGTAAAGCAGGAGAGATGTGGAAGTGCCTCATGCACTCCTGAGGCAGAGCAAAGTTCCTGGTGGCCAGGACAGAGGGCACACGGAGGGAAGGGAGTGAGGAAGGAGAAAATGCACTAGGCTGTGGCAGGACGTGAGGAGTATGGGGAGACACCGGGGTAAGATTAGGATGAACTTGGCCAGGCGTAGTGGCTCAGGAGGTGGCTCACCCTCAAGCACTTTGGGAGGCTGAGGCAGGTGGATCCCGAGGTCAGGACTTCAAGACCAGCCTGGCCAAGATGGTGAAACTCTGTCCCTACTAAAAATACAAAAATTAGTCAGGTGTGGTGGTAGGTGCCTGTAATCCCAGCTACAGGAGGTTGAGGCAAAAGAACTGCTTGAATCTGGGAGGGGGACATTGCAGTAGCCGAGATGCACCACTGCACTCTAGCCTGGGGAAGACTCTGTCTTAAAAAAAAAATAAAATGATGAACTTTAGATGATGTGATGATGTGAGTGTTCACATGTGTACACACACTACATATATTGAGTTTCAGGAAGATCAAAATCCTCTGAATCTTGGAGGACTAAGTAGCATCCAGTTAAAGATACTTACCTGGAATAACATGATCCTAAGGTCATTGATCCCTTATCAGGGATTTTTTTTTTTTTTTTTTTTTTTTTTTTTTTTCTGAGACGGAATTTTGCTCTTGTTGCCCAGGCTGGAGTGCAATGGTGCGATCTCAGCTCACTGCAACCTCCACCTCCCGGGTTCAAGTGATTCTCCTGCCTCACTTCCCAAGTAGCTGGGATTACAGGCATGAACCACCATATTCAGCTAATTTTTGTAAGTAGAGATGGAGTTTCACCACGTTGGCCAGGCTGGTCTCAAACTCCTGACCTCAGGTGATCCGCTCGCCTTGGCCTCCCAAAGTGCTGAGATTACACGTGAGGGCCACTGCATCCGGACAGAGTTCCATTTTTATAACCTGAAAAGATGGGCTATTTTTATTTGGGAAAAATAAAGAGTTCATGTTGTGAAAAGAAGTAAAATAGGACAGTACGAAGAGGGAGAGTGGGGGCATGGTCTTTTATATTTTAGATGGGAGAGAGATGAGTGTGCTGACTTCTGAAACTGCAGCGGGATGTCTGTCCCCTGGGAACCTGGAAATGAGGGAAACAGCCTTGGCCACTTGCAAAGTGAACTTTAAACTAATCTATGTAGCAAGAGGCCAGAGACAAAAGAATTCCCTCTCAGGAGGGGGCTGGTTAAATAACCCCCGGAACACTAGGTAGCCCTAGAAGGAATGAGGAAGACTCACAAGTGCCCCAGATCAATTAAGCCTAAAAGGAACTTTGAGCCAGGTGAGGTGGCTCACGCCCGTAATCCCTAGCACTTTGGGAGGCCAAGGCAGGCGGATCACCTGAGGTCAGGAGTTTGAGACCACCCCACTCGATGTGGTGAAACCCTGTCTCTACTAAAAATAAAAAGTCGCCGGGCGCGGTGGCTCAAGCCTGTAATCCCAGCACTTTGGGAGGCCGAGGCGGGTGGATCACGAGGTCAAGAGATCGAGACCATCTTGGTCAACATAGTGAAACCCCGTCTCTACTAAAAATACAAAAAAATGAGCTGGGCATGGTGGCGCGTGCCTGTAATCCCAGCTACTCAGGAGGCTGAGGCAGGAGAATTGCCTGAACCCAGGAGGCGGAGGTTGCGTTGAGCCGAGATCGTGCCATTGCACTCCAGCCTGGGTAACAAGAGCGAAACTCTGTCTCAAAAAAAAAAAAATAAAATAAATAAATAAATAAATAAATAAATAAATAAATAAAATAAAAAGTCAGCTGGGTGTGGTGGCGTGCACCTATAATCCAGCTACTAGGGAGTCTGAGGCCGGAGAATCACTTGAACCCAGGAGGCAGAGGTTGTAGTGAGTCAAAATTGTGCCACTGCATTCCAGTCTGGGCAACAGAATGAGACTCTGTCTTAAAAAAGAAAAACAGGGAACTTTCAGAATACAGGATAGAGAATATGCACCCATTCATGTTTTTTAAACAATTGCATACAATAAATGGGCTTGCAGACAAAAAAAGTTTCTGGCAAGAAACCTAAGAAGCCCCCAGAAGGTAGGTGGATAAGCTGAAGAATTTTTTTGTTTTTTGTTTTTTTGAGACAGAGTCTCCCTCTGTCTCCCAGGCTGGAGTGCAGTGGCATGATCTCAGCTCACTGCGGCCTCCACCTCCCGAGCTCAAGCAATTTTCAGGCCTCAGCCTCCCAAGTAGCTGGGATTATAGACGCCCACAACAACGCAAGGCTAACTTTTGTATTTTTAGTAGAGACAGGGTTTCACCATGTTGGCCAGGCTGGATTTGAATTTCTGACCTCAAATGATCTGCCTACTTCAGCCTCCCAAAGTGCTGGGATTACAGGCATGAGCCACCGTACCCGGCCAAGAATTTTAAAATATTTATTTGTTTTTTGAGACAGTGTCTCCCAGGCTGGAGTACAGTATCGTAATCATAGCTCACTGCAGCCTCGACCTCCTAGGTTCAAGTGATCCTCCTGCCTCAGCCTCCTGAGTAGCTGGGACTAAAAGCGTGCACCACCATGCCCAGCTGATTTTTGTATTTTTTATCGAGACAGGGTCTCACCATGGTGCCCAAGCTGGTCTTAAATTCCTGGGCTCAAGAGATCCTCTTGCCTCAGCCTCCCACAGTGTGAACCACCACCCCTGTCTGAAGTTTTAAAGATTTAGAGAGGGCTCTCGGCCGGGCGCGGTGGCTCATACCTGTTATCCCAGCTCTTTATGAGGCCGAGGTGGGCAGATCACCTGAGGTTGGGAGTTCAAAACTAGCCTGGCCAATGTGGTGAAACCCCGTCTCTACTAAAAATACAAAAATCAGCCTTGTGTGGTGGTGCACACCTGTAATCTCAGCTACTGGGAAGGCTGAGGCAGGAGAATCTCTTCAACCCGGGACGCGGAGGTTGCAGTGAGCCAAGATGGGGCCATTGCACTTCAGCCTGGGCTACTGAGGAGATTCCATCTCAAAAATAAAATAAAATTCTTTCTTCAGGTCCAAATATAAAAGAAAGAAAACAAATTTTTTTTTTTTTTTGAGACGGAGTTTCGCTCTTGTTACC